TAAACTAGTACCACATTGATGCCTCGCATTGATAGAGTTATTACTAAACTAGTACCACATTGATGCCTCGCATTGATAGAGTTATTACTAAACTAGTACCACATTGATGCCTCGCATTGATAGAGTTATCATAAAATAGTACCACAGGGGAATGAATTCACTGAGAGAATTCTACGCCTCCCTCCCCTTCCCCTCTCTTCACCAATGGCATGGTAACTTTAAAATAAATGTCTGATATGGCCATATTGGTATTCTGAGTCAAACGCAACCCCCTAAACATTAACCAAGAGTTAGTGAACCTTGTAAAGGGAAGTCACTCACTAGTGGTTATATTAACCGGTAAGTAAGACATGCTTAGAAAGAGTTGTCGTTTATTTTTTAAAAAAAATATTTTTTTTTACCAGAAATATGGTTATCACTTTTATTGATTTTTCTAACCATGAATTCTATTTAAACCAAGAAACATAGGGTTCAAGGGAAAAACCAGTGATGTCAGTTTTTCAAAATGTCTATGTTATCTCCCTTGTGGCTACATTCCATTTAATAGAATAATATGATACATAGGTCATAGGTCCAACTGAAAAAGCAGCGTAGTCAATAAATAAATACGTAGACATCTTGATATTTTCATACTTTTATGAGGAATTTTCAAACTTTAAATTCAATTTTCTCAAAACTCTCAAAACCTGACATCACTGGTTTTTCCCTTGAGCCCTTCATATGTAAACAATTAAAATTACCTAAACCAAGAAACTTATTTAAGCCATGAAATTTATTTTTAGGAGTGTGTAGAAAATTATGTTGGGGAAGCCATCCATAAATGACGTCACGCATCTGGTGGTGGAGGTGGGAGGTCAGATTTTTGTGACGATGTGTGACGATGAGGATGTGGATGGTGCTTAAGCAATGTGACTTCACATGGAAATTGGAATATTGTAAAAAAGAATTGCATTTAATAACACTAAATTACATACATTTTTAACATTATTCTTTTAAACAACAATTTTAATTATTTCATTTTTAAAGCTACGATCACTGAGAGAATCAGTACAGGTATGCGAGGTCCGAGAAATGGCCTCTGATCAAGTTACAGGACGCACAGTAGGAGGAGGAGAATCTGGATGTAGTTACAATGACAGTCGTGAGAATTTATGGCTAATGTGGACACGGGAGTCATAGAATTAGGACTACCACGTGAAGTGGGTTGGAACGAAAAAAAAATGATTGAGGGTGGGGGCTATCTTAGTAAATGCTGCAGGACAAGGATTCTTAACCTTTTTGCAGCGCTGCAGGCCCACTCCGTTTTACAGACAGTCCTACACCCTACCTTCCAGCCTTTAAACAATATGCCTACCAACACACCTACAACCTACCCACCAACCTTTTTAAACAATAGGCCTACAGTCAATACAGAAAGTCCTACAGTCAGTCGTACACCATACTCGTACTCTTTATTGATTAATATAATAGTCATCCTCCCCTTAAAGATTTTACCTGAGTTCCCACGTCACGCATGACAACATTTTTTTATTCAGTAATATTAATATAAAACATGTCAATGTGGTCCTGTGGAGTTGGGATGAGGGCGTTTCGAAAAGGAAGCTAGACACACCTGAGGCAAAATATATATGAGATAACAGTAAGTGTAAAGGGATGTGTAAAAGTTAAAAATATCATGATGAAAAATGTTTGTGTGTGTTGGGGGGGGGGGTAAATACATTTAACGATATGGCGAAGACTAGATTATGCGTGTAATATAGGACACGTCAAGCCGTGATTTCGATAGTTCTGTTAAGTGATTTCGATAGTTCTGTTAAGATAATGATGAAATTTAAGTATCTGTTTTGATTTTTTACGGTAATTAGACTTTTGGTGTACATGTTATTTTGTAAAACAAATATTTATAGCATTAACTTCTTTGTATAGAAAACAAAAGATATTATCTCCATTTACTGATTTAAGATTTAAAAGCCGATTAATACTTATTTTTTAAGACTTAAGTGGCGATTAATACTTATTTTAACAAAAAAAATGTTATTAAAAAATCCATATCTCGAATATGTTGGCTGCATTTCTGATTTTGGTAATAAGCCACAACCTAAGGTAACTGGTCTCTAAGGACTGTTCCTGATATAAATAATAATTTTAAAAAATCACCGCTGTAAATATGAAATTATTGATTGAGTTTTAATTCAAAGGTGGGTAATATACCTCAAAGGTGTGGGGATTGTTAACTGTGCACCATAATATTGAATTAACTTTGAAATCATGCGCTGTCACTTTAATTAGGCACTTTACTGTGACTTCACTGACTTGAGTCTTGATGAGTTTTAAGTTTAAGCAGTTTTTTTGGTTTCTTTTGTTTTGCCCACTGCTTAGTGCTTAATATAATAATATTTTGACTACAATGAAAGTAGTTGCCAACTTTAAACAACAAATTATAGGCCTACTATTTAAATTTAGGCTATAGGCCACTTCGCAAAGTTAAAATAAAAATAAAACACATGCGTTTGACCAACTTGCGACCAACTTCAACTTGCGTTGGATTGGACTGGAGTGAGCTGTTATGAAGTGCTAATTTTAAATGAAATAATAAAATAATAGGCGATTAATGGGATATAATTTTTCTTTTGTGGAAGGAATGAAGGAATATTCAGTTTATAAAAAGAATGAAATCTGAAGTATTTGCCAGAGTAAAATCTGTATTCCTTTAACTTTAAGAAATTGATTAGCAGTTGCAAGCTTTCTTTACTGTAGATGTTATTATCACACTCTGGTTACTTGTACGGTAGCACTTTGACTTTGACTTGCTTTGTAAGTTTGCAAGCTGCACGAGGGTCAAGTGATGGTACAAAACTGTGGTATCAAATCAAATGATGCTACTTTATTGGTACCAAACTGTGATATCAAATAAAACTTTGAAGGCATCTAACACTACCTCTTACTAGGGACCTCGGTATCGACCGGAAATACCAGAAAAACGGGTATCGTATTTTCGTTGTCATAATGGCGACCTCTACTTTTTAATTTACTGAGGGTATCGTTGTTTTGTGATTCATAATCGATTTTTAGCATAATAATATAATTTTACTTCCGCCAATTACTTAAAGCCGACATCTTTCCTGTTATATTAAGAGTTCGTTTGATTTTTTGGGTCAAGATTAAAGCTTTGAAAATTGAAGTTAAAAATTGGTCAACTTCACTCAAGAATAACTTTTTTTTAAAAATGCGCTCAATAATAAAAAAACTCCGCTCATATAATTTATAAGTTCATTTACAATATATCCAAAATTCATGAGTGTAGTCCATGAGTGGGCTTCAAAAATTAATTTCCAAGATGTCATTTTTTTAGGCTATGTAATTTGTCATCATGGCAACCGTGCTTGTCTGCTTATTTCCAATTATCGATAGCAGCCGTGGGGTAATTAATAATTCATTAAGTTGGTTATCCAGAGTGTAAATGGGAAATATAACTAATAAAAAATCATTTTATATAAATAAAAAATGTTTTATAATTTATAACATAAATAATTATTATTGGCTTATTGAATATCAGTGATTTCAATTTTTTGGTTGGTTGCCATGGACCTGGCTGACACTGACATGGGAATGATAAGCTCTTGTCTTTGACTTAGATAGTGATAGGCTTAGTAAAAGTATTATAATAGTATTTATACTATTAAAAATGATTTAAGGAGTGGGATAAATAGCTTTTATTACAGCTAATATATTTATCATTTATATTAGTTTATATATTTATAGATAAATATTTATTTGTGTGTATATATATATATATATAATGACCATTAGGCTATAGGCCTTGTATACATATAATATAGTATAATACAAAGCATACTACATCAGGGTTAAGGCCTATACCCAACCCAACTAATTTGTAGGACCTATTATAATAAATTATATTTAATGATATTTTAGGATATGTAATAAAATTTTAATGAATATTGTGATTCTTACTTAAGGCATAAACTAAGTAAAACATTTTGAAATATTCACTTACCTTTGGTATTGAAATATCCTATATTTAATCACATATCACAATATTCCACAAGAGAATTATTATATAATCCTCGGTTTCTCAAAGAAAAAACACACTTTCTGGCACTACAATCCAAGAATTACTTAAGATATTATTAAAGAACAATCATAAAAACCTGTACTTACCTCTAGTAAATGACTAGAACTTATTTTATTAACAGCTAAAGTCAAAGTTGATTCTAATAATACATGTTGATTTGTAAAACAAGATTACAAACTTAAAATAAATGACATGCTGATTGTTTTGTCATACTCATAGGAATAATATAATATATAGTATACATATGTAGAAAATGGTAAAATAAAAAGTGTAATTGTCAATTTTAAATAAATAAAACAAATAATCCCTTTATTATTTGTTTATGCTTATAAATGCTAAACAATTCCACAGAAAATCTGCAATTAATATCTAAAGAATATTATTATTATGATGATTTTTGGGAAATTAAAAACAAAATTAAAACAAAATTTTAATTAATTAATTACAAATAAGTGATGAGTCAGCATTTTTATACATTTTTAATAGGCAAATAATAAAGTTTTTTTTGGTTATATTTGCGGCATATTAACAAAAACTAAAGTATATTTTGTGGCTTTATTTAGAAGTACTCTTATTTAACTATGTTCCCTGTAAATATTATATTTTTGTCTCATTTTATAATAAAGTTATAGGCGTTAAAAAAAAAAGCAAAATGAGGGTCACAAAATGTGGAGGAAAATCCCATAGTAAAAAAGTGGTTTTGAGGTCCCTACTAAAAAATTCATAACTTTTGAACCACTTGAGCTAGAAAGTTGATCTTGGTGTTTTTGTAATCTATTCACCAGGCTCTAAACAGCTGTAGTATTTTTATATTTTAAAAAATGTTTTGAAATTTTCATCAAAGTGGCTACTCTTACCTATTAAAAAAAATCATGTAAATCGGACTTTGCCTTGTGGAATAGTTTGAAATGCCTTGTAAAAACCAATAACTGCTTCAAAACTGTGTTCTAAAGACTAACACCGATTTTTAAATTTAAAAAAAAAAAATACAAAACAATATTAACATTCTTTGTGAGTTGAGATGAAATACTAGCCAGTGACTGAGTAACCTGTGAGTAGATTACCACACCTATTAAAGCCATTGGATGACTGGTTTACCTTTAAGATTGTATTTAATTTAAGTTTCCATGGCCATATTATTTTAATAAATTGTATCTGAAAATAATATTATTATGATAATATGAATTTATTTATCAATCAAAGGTTTCACAGTTTTTTAATGATGGCTGCTGTCCCTGAAATCGCAGCTGATGCTGTTCTTGTGCAGAGTGAACAGATGCCTGAAGGGTCAGAGGTTGTCAGAGGTTATGACTTTAATGAAGGTGTTGATTACCACAATGTTTTTAAGTCATTGTCACGAACAGGATTTCAAGCTACTAGTGTTGGACAGTCTATTACAGAAATTAACAGAATGGTATGGAGAAAAAAACTAACCAAAAATTAAGATCTATGTTTAAATTATTATTTTTTGGTTGTGGAAATAAATGGCAAAATGAAAACAGTATTCTGAAATAAAATGCTGATGCATTATAATGATAAAATATTAATAAATATATTAAGAGAACTTTGATTTTAATTGAAGTAAAATTTAATACAAAATTAACAAAGCAATTATTTTTTTTTTTATTTGTGTTGCTATTTAACAATGCAATTTCACAATTACGTATACTTTGTTGCTTTTCTGCTTGTTTTCCTTAAATGGCCAGATTGACTGTAAATTTCAAGAAATCAGTGAAGAAAAAAAGCCTGAAGTGAATCTGAATCCATGTGGCAGAGAGCTGACTAACTGTACAATTTTTCTTAGCTATACATCCAACTTGATATCTGCTGGGTCCAGAGAGCAAATCCGATACCTTGTACAACACAATATGGTATCTAAAAGATTTAGCAATTTAATTACTATTTTTTAAAAAAAAACATTATTTTTAGTCCAAATTTATAATTGAGATATTTTATTATTTAACTTTAACATGTTTTATGCCAAACTATGTTCATTCTGTGCAGCAGACCTGTTTACTCTTACGATTTTGGCGTACAATGTACGATTTTGAGGTGTTAACATGTATACTGTATGTTTATTTTTTTCTATAAATATAAGGTATTGAACGATTTTGTGATAATATTGTACGATTTTAAGAGTCTGAGGGTAAACAGGTCTGGTACAGCTATTTTTTAGCATCTTTGTTATCTATTAAATTTGAGTTTGATCACACCAACAAATAAGAAGTCAAATTTGGACCAAACATAATAAATAGGTTGATCTTTAGGTGAAGGTTTCAGTGTTGTGTTTGTCAAGGTTGACTGTTTAGTGACAAGTGCTGGTGGTGTGGAAGAGGATTTCATCAAGTGTTTAGCCCCAACCTACATTGGAGACTTTTCATTGCCTGGGAAAGAACTGCGGGCCAAAGGCATCAACCGAATAGGCAACTTGCTTGTCCCCAACTCTAACTATTGCTTGTTTGAGAACTGGCTCACTCCCATCTTGGACAACATGGTTGATGAACAGAATGAGGTAAGATGACAATAATATTAGTTATCAATATGATCATGCAATTTGTATTCCAGTTTGAATATTATATGGTAATGAGGGGAGAGACTGCAATCAGGTTAACAAAATAGGAAATTACATTGTTTTTTCTGTTTTTTATTCGCTGACGAAGGCTTCCTGCCAACACATTCGTTGTTTTGTTGCGTTCCTTTATTCAGGGTTGGGCCATACTTTGTCCTGCTCATTTCCTATTGAATATGACATCCATATAATTTCATAATATATATAACTTTTAAATGGAAAAAAAAATGGTTAAGAAACATTGAAATTTGAAAATATGTCCTGTGGGTCTATAGAAGCACCCGCAATTAGGAGTTGCTATTAATACTTTTATTCACACAAAAATGATTCTTTTCTCCTGATTTATTTTTTTCTAAACTACTTCTTAATTTTTGTTTTGAGTTTGGTAACAAATATTTCCATATTCCTCCATTCTATTACATTGGTCATGTCAACACAAAGCTAATATTATAACAATCCCCATCATAACAGGGAACCAAGTGGACTCCTTCAAAAGTGATTGCCAGACTGGGGAAAGAGATGGACAACCCAGATTCTGTTTACTATTGGGCCTACAAGGTTCGTGACAGCTGACATTAAAATGTGATTACCTGACTGGGAAACGAGATTGTTAATCCAGATTCTGTTTAACTATTGGGCCTACTGAGTTAGTGACAGCTGACATTAAAATGTGATTGCCTAACTGGGGAAAGAGATTGTTAATCCAGATTCTGTTTACCACTGGGCCCCACAGGTTAGTGACAGCTGAAATTTAACCCACCGGTATGGCGCTTAAGATCTGGATTATCTCCTCTGTAGCAACGTATAGCAGACAAACATGTTGCAGTTTGCCATTTAAATAACTGCAGGTTGAATTTTTGTTTAGAAATGTCCTAATGTGACTTGCATTGAATTCTGAACAGAACAACATTCCAGTTTTTTGCCCAGCACTCACTGACGGTTCCCTTGGGGACATGATCTACTTCCACTCTTATCAAAAGCCTGGGCTGGTCATAGACATTGTGGAAGGTAAGACTACTGTTACATTATAGCCTGTGTCTTGACCTAATTTCACTTTGACGAAGAACTAAAGCGTCCACCGCTCCCCTCCCCCATTATTTGTTTTGATGTTAATGTCACCGATGTTGGTAGCGCTTTACCAACCCCACAACCACAACTAATTGGGAAAAGGTTGTTTATGTTCTATTTGTTCTAAAGAATTCAATCAGGTGACAGAATTTCAAGAATTTCTTTTCTGGAGGGCTCTAACTTACTCCCTTTAAAGATAAGCCTACAGCTCTTTCCTAGCTGACAAGAGAGATTTTTTGCTTTATTTCCTAGATATTTACTAGATATTTACTAGACGTAATATACTTTCAAGATTGTACTCTTTCTGTTTGTGTGTAAATTAATATTTGTATCTTTTAAGGATTGTACTTTTTCACTTGCTGTGCTGTAAGTTGATATAATTTTTATTTCTGTATGTTTGATTTAGTATTCTTTATATGAATTTAATAGTATGATTAAATTGAATATTGTTAGTAATCACCGGCTTTTATATCGTTTTTCCTTGTATATTTATTTATTTATTTAGCCAATTTTATATAGCGCTTACCTTAAAGCACTAAGCGCTTTACAATTATTAAAAACATGTAAACTAAGTAAAATAAAAATGAGACACTAGGATAGTAACTACTTTACTATAGAAACAATTAAAATGGCTATAAAATGAGGACACTGAATTTTCAGTCCTCTGTTCATCTAATGAGCCAAATCTTAAGCATATAAAATCTTCAAAACCATTTAACGCTATGTCACACTACCTAACAGCATGCTTATAGGAGCTCACAATTCAAAAAATTAGTTCTGTTGTGAGTAGATGTAAGACCTGATAGCATTGATAGCATGCTTGTATGGGCACAAAGCATTAGGGCTGTTATGAGTAAATAGCTCGCTCATTCAGCTCTAAATATCCTACAGTTTCAGCAGATTGTTAGTTCTTGTTCTGGTTAGGGTTTGGGGGGGTGGGTGCAAATTTAGTCAAAGAAAAGAAATCGCTGCCCTACTGGAATATAGAAACCCGAACTATTTTTTTTTTTTAATTGCTTATAAAAAATACACTTTTTTTTTTTTTTTTATTTAAATTATTTTTAAGATTTTTTGTTTTTTTCCCTTTATTTTACATTTTTTTTTTTTTAATTCTTTTTGACTTGTTTTTTTTTTTTTTTTTGATTAGTTAAAGTAATTTTTAGAATTTTGAGTTATGTCCCCTATATTTCACATATTTTATTTTTCAATGCTTTTAGTCTTTTTTTTTTTTTTTTTTTAACGTCCATTTTGAAATATGCATGTGTTGGACTCGGACTTCACTGTTTAATTTAACATTGGCTTTTCACATGTCGCTGTGCTTCACTTTAAATTTTCCAGACATACGCCTGATCAACAGCCAGGCGGTGTACGCTGTCAATACGGGAATGATCATTCTGGGAGGGGGTGTCATCAAGCATCATACGTGTAATGCAAATCTTATGGTACGCTACGGTTGTTTTGAAAATGTCCGTGTGGACACCTTTTTTTTAAAAAAAAAAATTTTGCTTTTGATATGTCTTTTGTGTGTGTCCGCAACTTCAATTTTTTTAAAACCACCTTCCACGTGACCTAGAGTGATGAAATATGGCTTGAAGCATAATGAAACTGGAACTTTTAATCCAAGAAATAATGAATAAGAAATGCCAGTGAGGAAGGAAAATAACTGAGCATGAGAAAAATATAAAATACTAGGGCTAAACCGGGTGCATTTTTTAAAAATTCCAAAACCAGTAATTTTGAGAAAATACCTGATGGGTCCAAGTGTGACCAAAAAATGAAGTTAACTTCTCATTTTCTATAATATATGCCAGCCTTTAAACAATACACCTACAGAAAGTCCTACACTCTACTTGCTGGGCCTTAAACAATAGGCTTACAGACAGTCCTACACCCTACCTGCCGGCCTTTAAACAATAGGCCTACAGTCTTACAGGCAGTCCTACACTCTACTTGCCGGGCCCTAAACAATAGGCCTATAGACAGTGCTACACTCTACTTGCAAGCCAAAAACAATGAGCCTACATACAGTGCTACTGAAAGTCCTACACAATACCTGTAGCTCTTTATTGACTAATGTAACAGCCGTCTCCCCATAAAGAAAGAAAAAAAATCAACTTGAAAAGAGTTCAGACGTTGTCATGCACGAAAGCTTGCTGTGTGACAGCCTTTTTTTTCCCCACTCAGTACTATTCATATAGAACATGTGTAGTTTGGGAGGGCCGGTTGGGAAGAGGGAGCAGGACATACTAGAAGCAAAAATATATATAACAGATACTTATTTAAAGTTCTTGCCCTTAATTTAAAGATGAACGATGCACCGTAACTAAAATAGATTTTCTCATTCAAACAAATCTAATTTATCCATTTTATTGCTATCATAGAACGTGGATGGGGGGGGGGGGTATCTGCTCCCGCGTGGAACTTTTTTCTGTATATTGAGATGAAGTATTTTTTATCTTTCTGCAGGGTTTTTTTTGCTGGGGGGGGGGGGGTTTTCGCCCGGCCCGGGCGGCTCTATTGTTGCCAAGAGAAACTTTGTTTTAAAAATATTTAATTGTAGGTATCTGCTCCCGCGTGGAACTTTTTTCTGTATATTGAGATGAAGTATTTTTTATCTTTCTGCAGAGTTTTTTTTGCTGGGGGTGGGGGGATTTTCGACCGGCCCGGGCGGCTCTATTGATGACAAGAGAAACTTTGTTTTAAAAATATTTAATTGTTAACACTCGATTCCCTTGACATAAGTTGTCAACAACATGCTATCTTCTTACACTGATGTAACTGGTTAAAATGGTGATACCTGCCACTACATGCTATCTTCTTACACTGATGTAACTGGTTAAAATGGTGATATCTGCCACTACATGCTATCTTCTTACACTGATGTAACTGGTTAAAATGGTGATACCTGCCACTACATGCTATCTTCTTACACTGATGTAACTGGTTAAAATGGTGATACCTGCCACTACATGCTATCTTCTTACACTGATGTAACTGGTTAAAAAAGGTGATACCTGCTACTTATTCAAAATTTAATTGACTCTATTACTTCCCCATGTCAACTTTAGCTGAGACATATCCTGAATTTGTCTGTTTCAGAGAAACGGTGCAGACTTCTCAGTGTTTGTCAACACAGGATCTGAGTATGATGGCAGCGACTCGGGGGCGAGGCCCGATGAAGCTGTGTCGTGGGGGAAAATCAAACTAACAGCTAGACCTGTCAAGGTGAGACTCAATTAGTTAATGTTATATAGACCTGTCAAGGTGAGACTCAATTAGTTAATGTTATATAGACCTGTCAAGGTGAGACTCAATTAGTTAATGTTATATAGACCTGTCAAAATGAGACTCAATTAGTTAATGTTATATAGACCTGTCAAGGTGAGACTCAATTAGTTAATGTTATATAGACCTGTCAAGGTGAAACTCAATTAGTTAATGTTATGTAAACATGTTTAGGTGAGACTCAATTATTTAATTTATGTAGATATGTTTAGGTGAGACTCAATTGTTTAATTCGTGTAGACATGTTTAGGTGGGTATCAAGTATTTAATTCATGTAGACATGTTTAGGTGAGACTCAATTATTGAATCTCTTATCGTGTTATTTAATTTAAGTAAACCAGTCTAAATCTGGTTTAAAATTGCCTCTAAAAACAAGGATCTCAAGCAATGCCAGCCAGGGGAAGTAAGGGTCTGTCGCCATTAAATTTAGCCAGAATGTGAATAGGTGTTCAGTGCCATTAAGACAGTGGTCCTCAACCTTCCTAATGCCGTGACCCTTTACCACAGTTCCTCATGTTGTGGAGACCCCAAAATGTAATATTATTTACGTTGCTACTTCATAAATATATGTTTTCTGATGGTCTTAGGGGACCCCTGTGTAGGGGTCGTTCAAAACATCCCCCCCCCTCCCACGGGGTTCGCGACCAACAAGGTTGAGAACTGCTGCATTAAGATGTTCAGTAATTCGTCATCATAGAGGGAAGGTTGGTCATGAAAATAATTTCATGATGTGCCGAGTCAAAGCTCTTATAGACAATGACTTGAACTGAAAGGTACGCTAGAATGTTAATGAAATGTTTTTATTTCATCTGATTTTCAGGTCTACGGTGAGGCGTCTGTGATACTCCCGATTCTTGTCGGAGAGACCTTCGCCAGCAGGCAGAAAGAGTTCCAAAAGTTTTATTCCAAGCAAAAAGACTGATATTTATAATAAACATAAACTTTATATCTGTCATGTTTTTCGTTATTTGCAGGAGTGAACTGCCCTTGATTGATCGAGTTATTTGTTCATTCAATTATAATTATCCTAGTGTGTCAATCACTTTTTCCGTCCCTTGGTTGTCATGGCAACAATTAGTTGTTTTATCTCACGCTAGTCCTGTCAATCAGTTGTCCTATCCCTTGGTTGACCTGTCAATCAGTTGTCATATCCCTTGATTGTCCCCCTAATCAGTTGTCATATCTCTTGATTGTCCCCCTAATTAGTTGTCCTGTCCCTTGGTTGTCCCGCCAATCAGTTGTCCTATCCCTTGGTTGTCCTTTCCCATGGTTGTCCCGTCAATGAGTTGTCCTATCCCTTGGTTGTCCTGCCACTGTCAATTAGTTATGATATCCATTGGTTTTACTGCACATCATTTAATGTGGAAATTACTTGTCTTGCCTACTAACAGCCCTGTCAATCAGTTGTCTTGCCTACCAACAGTCCTGACAATCAGTTGTCTTTTCTACTAACAGCCCATTTCACTTAGTTGTCTTGCCTACCAACAGTCCTGTCCATCAGCTGTCTTGCTACCAACAGTCCACTTCACTTAGTTGTCTTGCCTACTAACAGTCCCGTCAAACAGTTGTCTTGCCTATTAACAGTCCTGTCACTTAGTTGTCTTTTCTACTGAATGTGAAAATTAAATGTTGCCCTACCCCCCTCAAATCTAGGAATCATAAAGGTTGGACAGCACTGCTCTAGACTATCTGGAAGACGTGCACTTTGGTTCAGACGTGGCTGATAGAAACCTTGTTGTTGGAGCGGGCGGTTGTGCATTATTGATCCCTCTTTACATAGCGAGCAGCGTTATGCATGAGTTTGATTGAATGTACAGCCTGATGTATACATATTCAAGGATTGAAGTTTATGTTGCTAACGGAGAAGGAAAAAGAGTTCAATACGACATGAGAACAAGGTACGAACGTTTCCCAGAATGCGATGACAGAACGCAATCAAATCTAGATGTTGACAGGCATATTATTAGACTTTTCAAGTGGTGGTTTGCAAATTACGTCATGCTTGGGGGGGGGGGGGTGTCAAGAATTTTTATTAAATTAATTTTAAAAATATTCATTTGAGAAATCAAATCTAGATGTTGACAGGCATATTATTAGACTTTTCAAGTGGTGGTTTGCAAATTACGTCATGCTTGGGGGGGGGGGGGTGTCAAGAATCTTTATTCAATTAATTTTAAAAATATTCATTTGAGGTCGAAATTGTCTCTGGCATTATAGGTGCCGCGAAACTCTGTCGCGCACACTTGATGCGCATATCCAAAAATAACGCCAAAAAAATGTTGTGGCCATTTTTACATTCAGCTCGGGGAGGACTTCTAATTTGATACGGTACATCTTATTCCATTATGGGACAATGTTAAAGAATAAAATACAATCTTAGTTTAGTTATGAAAATTTTAAACATGTTTTGAATTTTTGTAGGTGTGACATGACACAAAGTTGGGGGTGGGGATTAAAGAATTTGTGACACTTTGTGACATTGGGGGAGGAGGGGGTCTGAAAAGGTCTTTTTTTTTGCGTGATGTAGGAACGACCCCCTAATGGATTTTAACACTTTAGACACGCCCCGTTCGTTAAAAACGCTCAAGGATTCGTTACCCCAGACAGCCAGAAATATGTTTTTAAACAATATAACATACATTTAATTTTATTTCAAACACAAACTTATTTAGCTGCTAGAACAGCGGCTCTCAACCTGTGGGTCGCGACCCCTTTGGGGGTCGATTGACCCTCTCCCAAGGGTCGCCTAAGACCATCGGAAAACACATACAGGTACTAACTAACAATTATGAAGTGGCAACGAAAACAAGTGTGTGGTTGGGGGTCGCCACAGCATGAGGGACTCTGTTAAAAGGGTCGCGGCATTAGGATGGTTGAGAACCACTACGCTAGACGTTCAGTGGGTTGCGACATACCTTAATTCAAAGTGTCGTGGCGAATGACCACCAATCCCACAATTGATGTTGGATAATATTATGTTAATCTATCAGCCGCCGCTTGCTTGTAGTTCTAGATCAGTGACTTTGAGAACCCCTGGTACTACTTAGCGTAGGGACTTACCTATTTTTGGCTTCTTTGTTCAATAAAATAATAGGTCAAAGATTATTTGAAGACCAAAAAAATAAAAATAAAAATATTTCATAAAATTATACTTTATTATGTCAAATCAAATAGCTGCAAACATTAAAAATTATATTTTCATTATGATTAATAATATACGTCTTTAAACGCACAGCCAATAATTAATTTCTAAGTTATGCATTTTTTAAAGAACGGATGGCCTCCGTATAGTATATGTCTTTTAAGAAATGGCCAAGACTTCTTAGCCGTAAATGAAGCCTTTGGTGGCTCTGTCTTTTTCAGCGGGCTCGGCTGGCTGGGTATTGCTCTGTTGCGCCAAGCGTTCGGCCGCCGAGGCCTAGCCGAGAGGCTTGAAGTGTGCGTGCCTCTCGATCACGATCACCGGCACGTCTTCGCGGGATATGCTCCGGGTCAAGGCCGAGACCTGTTTCTTCTCGTCAATATCCCACCATCCCGGCGCGTGGAGGGAGCGCGCATGCGCACTAGGCACGTCCAGTGTGAATTCCACAGGCGACCCCGAGGAACGCTTCTCCCGTGCGGGGTGGTCGCCCCGCCGACCCTCCCGGTCAAAGGTCGGCGGAGGGAGAGCGCTAGCGGAAAATAGGGTGAGCCAAACAAAGCCACAGGTGAAGTGAGGTGACGGCATTGTGTCCGTTGAGGCGCGACCGCTGAGTCGTATCTGGTGACAATGAAGAAAATTAAAAGAAGCAAATTACAACTACAACAACAACAAAAATTATGTTAACATAAATAAGACAACCGGGTTGTCATCATATAATTTGGTGGCAGTTAGCTCGGGGGGGGGGGGCACCCGTGCTCTTGCTGGTGACACCCTATTTAACTGGAAACCTGCTCTGGTGGCAATCTACTCTGGTGGCACCCTGTTCTGAATCCACCCTGCCCTTGTATTCAACTACGGTCGGTCATGTAATCCTCTCTGGTGGCAATCTTATCTGGTGGCCCCCTGTTCTGATTTCGCCCTGCCAATGTATTCAACTACGACCGGTCATGTAACCCGCTCTGGTGGCACCCTTATCTGGTGTTATCTGGTGGGCACCCTTATCTGGTGGGCACCCTTATCTGGTTTCAACCTGCTCGTATATTCAACATCGGGTGGTTTTGTAACCATTTCGAGCAAACGCTGTTAATTTTTTTTTAAACTTACGTTGACCCCGGGTGATATTTTTACCGATGAATTCCGCAGCCACATCACTGATGCCATTGTATACGATTGGTTTAATGTTTTTCTGAAGGGGAATACCACTAAACATGACCCCCCCACCACTAAACATGACCCCCCCACTAGCCATGACCGCCACCACTACCCATGACCCCCACCTCTAAACATGACCCCCACCACTAAACATGAA